ATATCATAAACGTTTTAAATTTAAAAAATCTCTCTAATTAATGGAGACTAAATTAAGAAATCAGCAAATATTTTTCTAGTTTTGTTGTCTATACATTTTATTTTCTACTTTCAGTACATAGACTAACAACAATATTAGTTCAAGAAACAAAATAATTGCGTACGCAAGGAAATAAAAAAATGCGAAATAGAATATAAATTAGTGGTAAAAACTAGCCAAATTAAAGTAACTTTATTAAGAAAACGACGTTTCGGGCGACAGCTCTTCATCAGGTTACCAGTGGCAATGAAACTGTTGATATAAGGGTTAGGTTATACTTTTGTTGCTAAGCAACATGACAAAAGCCATTGTTGGAACGTAGTGTTACGAAAACGCACTGGCTTATCTATATATATATATTAGAAGTTGTTAATCTAACTGAATTTTAATAATGTTTATTCTATGAATACGCCATGAATTCATTTCGTGGATGATCTTAATTTTGATTGGTTCACAAAAGGAACTTTCCGACGTTCGACTGCTTCTGTGTTGGTCAAGCTCGATTTCATAAAATTTATTTATTTCAGATAGCTGTGAAATGTGAGGTTAGGCTTTAAGGGTATACTAATTACTATGAGGTGTGGATAGTAGTACTTGGCCCGTCATTTTTGAGAGGCTATACGCTAGTAAACACAGAAGCTTCATTGAAACTTCGATCCTCGAAATATGTCACATAGTAACTAATGCCAAATGAAATAAGAAATTTTGAAATATTGTTTGTTTGGAAAGTTTGGTATAAGACTTTTATAAATGATAAAACTTCTAGTTCACTTGTTTCTTGATGATAGGAGTAGTTTCAAGTAAGATACAAAATAAAGGGCGACAAGTTGACGATAACATGGAAGTTTTGAAAACCCCGAATGTGAAAACCGAACCCAATTCTGATGAGGAGAATGCTTTGTTGGAAGTCAAGTTTTTGAAAAATGAAGCTAGGAAAACGTCACTCATTAGTAAGTTCAAATGTATAGAAATTAAATCCTTTATGAAACTTTGTAACATGGCAAAATTGTGTGCAAGTTATTGTATTGTAATAATTTACAATTGAGCCATATTAATCATTGTTTACATTATTAATAATAGTACTACTATTATTATATAATATTGATGCTGTGAACCCGTAGCACATGCTAAATGATTTATACCAACACTAATAGTGAACTGGTATAATTTTTATGTTTATTTTATAGTTTTTGATTTATTGTTTTATTGTATCTTATGATGTTTCATTAGACATTTTGTAACACTTGTCAATTTTAAGCACCAAGATACATAAGTAAAGAATTGGTAGAATATGTCAACTTTATCAACAAAGTGGAGTAAGATAAAAAAAAATTAAATAATTCAAAAAAATATTTTGAGTTGGTATATGATTTGTATAACTAGATATAATTTGATATAATTCTTGTATGTTCACTAATTTTGACAACTGTATATATGAACAACATCATTCAATATCACAGCAAGTAGTATAACACATTACATTATAAAATAAAATGACTTAAGTCATAGTAGGCCAATGTGATTATAATCAAAAGAATGTATATTTGGTGCATTTTAGATACAATCAGTTAAATTCTGAGAGTTATGATTTTTTTTATTAAATGGTAAACTTTGAGTATCATTGTGTTTGATTTATTTTTGAATGAAAACTAAATCATAAGAGAAATTGTTTTTTAAATAGTCTATTGAAGAGTATAAAACTACTGGACTTGACATGAATAACGTGCATATGTGAAACAGGCTTGTTGTAAAAAGATAGCCATTCTAAACTTATAGAAAAGGAGAAGATGAAGCTAGTGAACTTTTATAGTTGTTTAATAAATATTATAGACTACTAAATGAAATAAAAATGTTTGATTGTTGTTGACTATTGTTTTAATAGAACTATTAATAGGTGAAAAGTAGAAATAACTCTAAAGGAAGTAAGTAAATATTAATTTAAAGTTAGTGTATAAATATATATATATATATATAT